TACGAAAAAATCCACGATTTTTACTTCGGTAAAATTCAAAAGAAAAAAATATCAATTTTATTTGTAAATGTTTTTTTTTTTAATTTAATAGAAATATCAAAAAACCAGTTGATATGACTGATCGATCATTAACAGAAGTAACAACAACTAATAATGATTATTGTCGTCTTGATACAAAAACACTTAAACGTAAACCATATCATCGTGCTGATTTCTATTTTTATAAACGAAATTCATCACGTTCAACAAAACAAGTATATTTTTAATTTATTTAATAATTATATTTCTATATATTTTTTTTGTTTTGTATTTAGAATCATAAACAATTATCTCTCACACAATATAACCGTTTTTTAAAATACTATCAAGATTGGTCATTAAAACATATATCAGATAATGATAATGATCCACTTAATAATCTTTGGCTTAAAACACATCGATCGAATAATAATAATAATGAACAAAAAAATTTCGATATTCAATCAATATTTTCAAATAATGATTTAACACAACCACCATATCGTCCCTATCGACAATATCAAATTATTAATACATAAAAGCTAAAAACATGTATATGTCTATATATATATATATTTTTTTTTTCGATGATGTGTCTCTGCATATTTTGTATTTTACTTCCAGTCATTCTATGTATCATAGACACATGTTTAATGTTTTTCTTCGATCTCGTTTTTTTGTTGTTTTCCTTGTCGTACTATTATAACATACGCTTGTACATGATAAATTCTATTAAACTATTAACAAAAAAGATTAAAAAAAAAAAGCAAACATCTTATTCTCTTTGTATTCAATTTTTATATCTTATCATATATAGATATGATAAAAAAGAAATTATGTTTTATTCATTATTCCTAATATAAATAAAATACATTTGTTATCGAAAAGTTGTTATAATTAAAATGTGAAACCACGAGAGTATGGGCAGGTGAATATGAAGGGAATCGATTTACAGTATTATATTTCGTTGGTGATTTTGATTATTGTTGTTCAAGCTATTTGTCTTTGTGTACATTTTAATCGTGAGATGTATTTAATACTTGTCAATGTAAAGTGTAACGCAAAAGTTTAAGATACGTTTATTTTTGAAGTTTTTTCATCGAAGATGAGTAGCTAGATCGAATTCAAATAGTGATTTGGATAGTTCTTAAAATTCTCTATCGAATACAATATGTGTCAAAGTTTCAAAAGAAACTTTGTGAAGAGAGTTTTCCAGAAAACCGTACTAGGGAGATTTCAAGTCCTAGAGAGTTTTGACAGAAAGAGCAGAAAATCCTGAACTAAATGAAGAATCGCCCAGCTCTCTACGATATTCCGTCACAAAGTTATAAGCATTACAAAAAAAACAAAAAAATGTGGTTTTAATCTAATTTTAGGGCTTTTTTGATAAAAATCGAAGAAAAACGCCTATTTTTCTAATGCTTATAACTTTGTGATAGAATATAGTAGAGAGCTGGGTGACCCTTCATTTTGTTCAGAATTTTCTGCTCTTTCAGAAGCTTATATTGAAAAAATCTTTCTGTCAAAATCCTCCAGGACCTAAAATTCCCTTAGTACGATTTTCTGAAAAACTCTCTTCACAAAGTTTTTGTTTTGAAAATTTGACACATATTGCACTCGATAGGAAATTTCAAGAACTATCCAAATCACTATTTGGATTTCATCTAGTTACTCATCTTCGATGAAAAACTTCGAACATATAAGTGTCCTAAACTTTTGTGGTCCACTTTAGAAGAACAAATTGCAAGAAAATAGATTTAGAGAACTTAGTCAGTAATAAATGATGTCAAGTGGCAAACCCCATGATTTTCTCTTTCAATCATCATTAAAAACTTTTTCACATATCCGTTTAATCTTATTTTTCAATTAGAGTTGATAGTTCACCATATATTCTTTATCTATTTCATCTGAAATTAAACTAGACATATGATCGAAATGAAGGGTAATAGTGTTTTTATTGAGGATAACAGTTCGTTTTACACATCGACAGAGATATTTAAGCATGATTGAAGTCATTGAAAATCATTTGTATATACATATTCGTTTGATCAATTATATGGATATTACGTAATTTTGATTCAACGAATTGAAAACCCTATTAATAAGGAATGAATGAATCATAGAGAAGTCATAATTCGATTACTTCATTAAAAAATGTATTAACTTTCAGAAAATGACATATGAAATAATCAAATTTTCTAAGATGTTTTTTCTACATATCAACGGTCATTCATCTATCATATATTACCGATTTTTGGCCATTGTGGATCTCAAAAATATGTAATATTATTTATTTTTGTTTCCACTTATTACATAAAAATATTTATTCCTTATCTAGTTTTTACATTCTTGTCTTTTAACACGAGCATGGACAATCACTATAAAACTACTACTAGTGAACGCCTTCTTATTCTGAACGATGAAAGTATTTTTTGAAAATTTGTAAAATTGATAATCACATATAATTTATGCATAGGTTTTTAACATAATTATATAGATTCGAAATCTAAAGAAAGATTTATTTTCAGCATAGATGCTACTACTGTGACATGAAAGAAATAATGGATAGTTGATTTTGAAGACATTTTCGGATTAAGTATTTATTCAATAAGAATTTTTTTCGGTCTAAATTAAGTTTTAAAATGAGTTCTTCAATCTCCAATTATTATAGAATTGAAAAATTTCATTTCCTTTCATACGGTGATATCTTCTACCGTGATCATCGTATGTAGTTCTGTTTTGGAGGGTATGGGTGTGGGTGTAAGTAAAGAGACGAGATCAACCGACGACTGCATCCACACATTGAAGCTTTTTATCATGAAGGCCATACTTGTAAATGTCTTGCTTTGACTTATGGCATGCATAAAAGAAAATTAAAAAGTAAATAGTCGACCAGCTGCGTATAAGACACCAAGGTCTTTTCTTTCTGCTTTCGGAAGAAAAAAAAGGCGAAATAAAACGAGAAAAAAGCAAGTTGAAAGTTAATGTCATTCAAAGTTACAACAAAAACGATTCGAGCATTTCTGTAAGACATGGAGAAAACAATGAAAACAAGAACTGAAGCTAGTAGTAAGTACCCGTTCTTAATCAGTCGACAAAACAAAAACTATTTTTCATTGGTTTAATTATTAATATTTCTACTTGTGCAAATAAAATTTCGAGTTGTCAACAACAAACTTTCACTCCTACACTATTGAGGATTTTAATCCTTCGTCAGATGTTTTATTCATTTTGCGAAGATGGAGCAAGTACGCATCATAATTTCACAATATTTTGAGAAATACATAGCAATTCTCTTTCGAACAAAAATGAAATTTTCAGAGGACTTCTCTTTTTTAGCAATCGAACACAATGAAATTATTTTCGTTTTGATCATCTGCTGTTACCATCTCTACTAAGTTTTGTGACGGGATCGATAGAGAAACATATCGACTTTTCTGTTCGGTCTGCGAATTGTTATCACTTTTCTCGCATTACACTTCTAAACTCATAAGAAATAGTTTCACAAAATGCTAAATTCGATCACACGAGACGACCTTGTTAATGTATTGAAGTATATATTGAAAATAGTAGTATCTCTCTTCTTTATACAGTCACACAGAGATGTTTTTGTGCTGTTTTGGTCGTTCTCATGTCGAATATGAATGAATATTATAGACTTTTAATAGATTCGAAATCCAAAAGCTAAAATACCGACCTCGCCCTATTCCTCGTCCATGATGGCCTTTTGATTTTTAGTGCAGATCATGAAAAAATTTCGACTTGCTGCTCGTTTGACTAATCCGTAGATTATGATTAGTATTGAGAGAATAATTATGGGCAACTGAAGGCATCTCAATCATCGTTTGCATTTGAATTCCTCAGAAATCGTGTTAAAAGCTTTTTTTGTGAAGTTTCAACCCTGGTTTGTTTCTTATTCATTTCAGATTGCATATTGTCATCAGATGGATTCGAACCGTAAAAATCTTTTTACGATGTATGAAAAGGAATTTTAACAATTAGTGATTGTTAATAAGGTAGTAACTATAGATCAAGATCGAATCGAATCAATTACATAGATCTTCTCGAAGAGTGGGTCGAATCGAATTAAGATTTTGGGAGAGGATGTCGAATAATATCGAATTGGATAGACATTGAGACAAATCAATTCAGATCAAGTAGATTTTAATGAGTTTGAGTTTTTTGCAATAAATGTATAAATTGTTGAAAGAAATATCGACAGTAGCATGATTATACTTTCTCGATCATAATTAAGCATGATGACAACCTTATGTTTGGCCGCATTCATGATCATGCATTGTTTGATTGTAACTATCGGGGCTAAGATCAAAACTAGTCATGAAAATTTTTTTTCGAAAATAGAGTGCCTTTGTATATCGAAAAAGGGACTAATAGAAAAACAGGTCAGAAAATAAATAAAATCCATTCTTACAAGAAGAATCGTTATTTGTGCCATAAAAAGAATCCATATTAGAACCATTCTATTCTGATGATTCTAACGGGGACGCATCTCAGTATAGTGAAAGGGTCATCATGCCCCAAAACTCAACAGTGATGGCTTCTACACAGACAAATTTATCATCAAAACACAAGTTTTACTATGACGGCAAGAGGTCTAATAAAAACATCGAAGCTCATGTAGAAAATTCTTTCCGTTGAGAGTAAGCCATGAGTGGAGTAAGAACGGGGTGGTAAAACTAGCAGATTAATACGATGACATTAGCATCTGGTAGGAAGTACTGTAAGAAGGATAGCTTTTTATCAATATAAGAATATCGATACTTTTCATTAGAGACATATTCCATCTTCAAACCCAGAAGGTGACTTAATTTTTCTGTGCCTAAAATCAAACTTTTTTCCACAGCTCTTTCACTATTCAATTATTTTGAATACTACTTGTCAAAAAAATTTATTTTTGTTTCTTGAAATATATAGTTATCCCAAGCATTCCTTCCAAAGCCATATGGGGAAAAGATAGTGAAATGGTTGCTGGACGCAACGAGCCAGGTACCGAACTCTATCAACTTCATGGTCCTCATGGTCTCTATATAACTGATGATGAAACTATCCTTATTGCTGACAGATGGAATCATCGTATTGTGGAATGGAAGATGAATGCAAAGAAGGGTCAAGTAGTCGCTGGTGGAGCAGTATTTGGAAATCGAAATGATCAGTTGAATGGTCCAACAGATGTGATTGTCGACAAACTGACAAATGCTCTCATCATTTGTGATTCGTGTAATCGTCGAGTGATGCGATGGTCTCGCCGAAGTGGTACTAACAGTGGAGAAACGCTTATCGATAATATTGATTGTTGGGGACTAGCCATCGACTATGAGAGATATCTCTACGTTTCCGACTGGAAAAATAATCAAGTGATACGTATACGCATGGGAACAAATAAACGAACAGTGGTAGCGGGTGGAAATGGAACAGGTGATAATTTTAATCAACTCTGCCATCCTGGATACATTTTTGTCGATCAGGATCATTCTGTTTACGTGTCGGATAAGGAGAATCATCGTGTGATGAAGTGGATGAAGGATGCGAAACAGGGAATTGTTGTGGCTGGTGGGCTAGGACAAGGACATACTCTGTCTCAACTACACTATCCGAATGGAGTGTGTGTTGATGCTTCGGGCACAGTCTATGTGGCAGACTATGGGAACCATCGAATAATGAGATGGTACAATGGAGAAATAAAAGGAAATACAATTGTTGGCGGACGTGGACCGGGAGAGAGACTAGATCAATTGAAATGTCCCGTTGGTTTGTCATTTGATAAACGAGGTAATCTCTATGTTGTTGACTATTTGAATAATCGAGTTCAACAGTGCTCATTTGAAACGAGTTGATGGTATTTGTTTGTTATATTTTTCTGTGAAAATGAATAAATTTGATTCCTCTCGTCACTGATACGACTACAATTTGTTCTCAGTACTCTCTCGTCCTTGAAAACAACATCCATGTGTGCTCGATTTGAGAGCAGTTCTCTGTAATTCCCTCGACTGAAGGGAGGGTCATACGAAAAAAACTTAAAAGCGTTTGTGGGGGTGTTTGTGTCGGGTCAAAAGAACACAAAGGTCAAAAAAACACTAGATCACGAAATCGGACTTTCACCGTGAGAAATCACCCAATCCGAGGTATTCGGACTCGCTCTTTCGACCAATCACATTCTTTAGAGCTAAAAAACCGGCCAATCAGGAACTTTCGACCAATCGGATTCCTCCAAGCTAAAAAAGCAGCCAATCAGGGGTTTTCGACCTCGGGCTTTCTACCAATCAGATTCTGCCAAGCTAAAAAACCGGCCAACTAGGGGTTTTCAGCATTGGGCATTCAGCCAATAGGATTTTTTCATCTTGAAGTTCCAGCCAATCAGGGGTTTTTCCGTATTGGGCATTCAGCCAATCAGTTTTTTTCATATTGAAATACCAGCCAATCAGAGGTTTTCAATATTGGGCTTTCTACCAATCAGATTCTGCCAAGCTAAAAAACCGGCCAATTAGGGGTTTTCGGTATTGGGCATTTAGCCAATAGGATTTTTTCATATTGAAATTCCAGTCAATCAGGGGTTTGCGATATCGGGTAGTCAGCCAATCAGATTTTTTCACATTGAAATTCCATCCAATCAAGGGTTTTCGATATTGTGCATTCAGCCAATCAGATTTTTTCATATTGAAATTCCATCCAATCAGGGGTTTTCGGTATTGGGCATTCAGCCAATAGGATTTTTTCATATTGTAATTCGAGCCAATCAGTGGTTTTAACTTGAAGAAGCCAATGTAAAACGGTATTTGTAAATGAGGTCACAACTTTAACGGTACATGGAGAATAACGAACTGTTGTTTTAATGTATTCAAATAGTGGAGCGATTAGCCATGAGTGGCGCCCTGTAGGAGCGCGGATGAACGACTAATCGCTGATATTGCAAGCGCATTCCTCATACGCTCCGGAAAAGATCTATATGAAAGCTAGGTCCATTAAGAATACTGTACTAAGATTCGCTTCATTAGGAATTCTAATAAATTGTGACTTTTCAGTTAGACAATTAGGTTGAAGAAATAAGGAATAGTTCATAACAACGTGTCGATTCCGGCCTGCCCATCGAGAATTTTCATGTTGTAAATGTA